GGTATCAAAACATAGTTTATATTTCAGATTTTAATATTATTTATGTTTTAATTTCTTAATATAAAAGGAAATATATATAAAAAAAAGCTAAATATCGATTTGTGTGTGTGTAACTTCTTCATGTCTTGTTGCTCTGTTTACATTTTTTTTACACCTACTATATATGTCTACAGTTGATTAACAAATTAGAAACATGAATTCTAGATACTGGCAAACTAGAATATAAATTTAGAATCTCCCACCACTTTGATATGCTGAGAAATCAATGTATTTAGCAAATCAACTAGAGTGGTATCTCATCCTACTCCATTCTTTCCAAACCTCTTGTTTAGCTCCACCTACTTTTCTTAAGGGTGTTTTTATAACCAATAGAAAGGACAAGTTGTGCTTTACATGATTCTGACAGTTGTTTGTAAAGAGCTTGGAAGAGAAAATAATAATTTTGTCAAGACTTTTTAATGGTGATGACCAAGTTGTTGCTCCAAACAGATATTAATTTTTTTAGCACATACATATTTTATTTAGAAACTTAAGCAAGTTACAGATGTTTTCGTGTCCTAGTAGAGTAATTTAATTATTTTTTCTTTCTAAAATGTATATTTGAAGCCTACCAAAATTATATTCCTTCACCGTTCACTCAAAAATTAATGAGGCTTAGCAATAAAGGCACATGAGGGCAAAATATATTCCTATCACTGTAACTTTGCATAAGTACTAGAAATCATTGTTTTCTATGTAATTTTCATTTATTGTTCTATGTTTTAAGAAAAATAACTAAAATTTAAGTACTTATGAGTAAATATATAGGTATAAATGTAAGTTATGGAAGCCGAAATATCAGTGTAGTTTGCAAAATATTGGTATTATAGTTAGATTTGAACTTTGTAGGGCTATGTAGTTTTTCTAATTGTCTAAACTGACGTAAAGTAAAAGCAAATAATGCAACATTAGAAACTTTACAACTTATATTTAATCGTAACATTTAGAAATGTACAGTAAAAGAAAGCAACGAAAAACTGTACAACCTCATCTATATAAATGTATGCAAATATTTACTCACAATGTACACTCAAAAGCTGAAACAAATATACAGTTATACAAAGTTGTTCACATTCTTGAACAGATTGTATACAACTGTTCAAGAATGTGAACAACTTTCAGAAAACAAATAAAACAAACTATAAATGAATATCAATCTATGTATATATGTATTTCACATAACTATATAGATATATTTACATTTTAGAAAATGCACATGACAGGAGATATTACACATACAAGTGTATAAATAACAGAAAAATAATAAAATATGTAAGTAAAACAAATTCTGATATACAGAATTGTATACAAATGTTTGAGAATGAAAAATTTTCAGAAAATATACATGAAGCTCTTCCCAGAGAAAACTAAAATGAAAGGCAGTATCATACATACAAGTGTATGAATAACAAAAGAAAACTTTACAAAAATATTTCAGGCAAAAACATTGTAAAAAGGAAACAATGTTGTACATCCAAATACAGTAAAAATGCTAAGATGCTACTGTCTAATTATTTGTTAGAGGAAAAGAAAGAACTGTATTTGTAAAAGGAAAAGAGAAGATACTTTTACCTGGTGCATAAACAATATTTTAGTGAAACTATCAAACAGATTTTATTTTATGTTATAACATGCAAAATATATCATCTATGATAATTCAGCAGTTTTAGTTATGTACTAAGTATAAACTTAACTGTTTTGCAGAGTATCACTAGTGTGATACTCTGCAAAGTGTTTCATACAAAGATATACATCAGAGAGTGTACATGTTGTGAGTATCCTGTTGTCTTTAAGGGACATTCTGCATCTCAGAGGAGAGTCCTGTGTAAATGTTGTAAGTGGAATACCAGAAGGATTGGGTCTGCTCTGAAGTAGAAGCTCAACAAGAGAAGTGACCAGCTCCATCTTGAAGGACTTCTGTGATAATTCCAGCTGATTGGTTTTGTCTTGTAGAGAATAAAAGCATTGACTATGGTCAAATCCAAAAGCCAGAAAAAAAAAGTTTTTTATACCATTTTATTGACCTTTGTCCAGTTGAATAGTAGCTCAGGAACTGGTCATTGAGGTCTCCTTCTCCCATAAACTTGTTGTGGTCTACAATTAACTGAGGTTTTGTAACCTCAGCATCCCTTCCTCTTCTTATAGTTAAAGGGCATAGATGTCTCGTTTGTCCACCCACTTCACTGCTGTCAAACTTCCACATTTAAAAAATTGTGCTTCCCCTTATTGTAGGGTTGTTGCAACCAGTTCCCGTTGGAAATGCAATCTGTCCTTCCTATGTGTCCCACAAGCATAAGTTCCAACAGCCAACAATTTATCAAGTAAATGAGGAGAAGTCTAGAAATTGTCCATGAAAAGAGAGTGCCCTAGTCTGTTGAATCTGACTATCAGGTCCATGAAAACGTTAACCACTAAACCTCTGGCTGGCATTTGTCCCTCCTTGCCTGTGTAGATCTTGAACTTTAAACAGTATCCACTTACAGCATCTATCAGGACCCACAACTTGATAACCCACTTGACTGGTTTCTTTGGTAGGTATTGGAGGGAACCAATCCTACATTTTGTACTCAACATTGCTCATCTACAGACAATTCCCTGTTAGGAGAATAGTGAGAAACAAAGGACTTCAGAAGAAGGTCTATGATAGGTCTAACCTTAGAAAGTTTATCATGGTTAGGGCCAGTCCTAGGAAGAGTGTTAGAGTTGATATTAATATGTAAATGTTTATGGATAGCTTAAAACCTGTCCCTAGAAAAGATTTTAGTAAACCAAAAATTATGAAAGGGAAGATAGGTAGACCAGTAATCAGAAATAGAAGGATGAGGCTTAAAGCCCATAACTAAAAGTAGGCCAGAGTAAGCTAAGATATCCTCAAGAGTAACATCTTTCCCCTTAACAGTTTTTTCTTTTGAGGGGGTTCATTTTGATTTACTTTTGTTTTATGCACATATCTGTTTGTTTCACCTACAATTAGGTGCAGAGCTTCTGCTGTGAAAAGGAGTTTGAAAATTTCCATTGGTTTATTCAAAGAGGTGACCTGTTGGGAGACAAGTTCACCTCTGTTGAATGGAGGTATCTGTTGTTGTTCTTCTCTCATGATTTTCACCCATGTCCAACTGCTACTGTATAAAAGAATCTTCTCCTTTGAGGAAGGATCAGAGATAGCACTCACTGGAGCTCTGCCCTTTCCTCTACTCCTCTTAGCTCTGCCTCTTTCCTGTGGTGGTGATGGTGATGTTTGTTTTGATGTACCTGGCCGTGGGTAGTCCAGAATTCTTATCAAAGTGAGTTTCACCACTTATATTTTGATCTGTCCATACGACAGTCAAGAAGAGCTGGTTCAACATTTAGTGGCTATTTGGGTTTGTAAACAGTTTCCATCAGAGGCATTGAAGCATTTTTAATGTAACTGTAAAGATCAGGACATGAGCGCTTTGACCTGGTTGTTGATATAGGGTTACATAACGTCAAATTTAAATACCCCCAGTGGTTGAGCAGTAATTTTGAGGGCTTATATTGACTATAATTTGGGGTTTGATCCCTGTAATGGACACAGCAAAGTTAGCTCATTTTGCAACTAGGTACTTAAAAAACCCATCCACATTTAACATTGTTTGTCTCATGATAACATTATAAACATTAGTATCTTCACAAATATGCATTAAGAAAACAAACTGCATATTCCAAAGAGAAGTAGAAACTACTGCTAAAACTTAGCTTATATTTTGTGGTTTAGATTTTTAACATTTGCATATAGCAAATGTAAAAGCTTCAAAGGAAAGTGTAAAGATAGAATGATGTGGTTTGTTAACGTTCATGAATGCATGTTGCAAGTTAAAAAATATGATCTCCAAAAATTCTGGAACATTTAACTCTTTCAAGATGGGCATTATTTTATGTACATGTCATGAGGTTTTAATGAGTTACATTCAATATTTAATTAAACTACTTTTTATTATGGTATATAAATAAAAGTGGCATAAAAATGTAACTAATAACCCAACTTTTAACATTATAAAACTTTTAAGTTTTTACTTTTATAGGACAATATTAAATCAATATCCTCAATTTCCCACAGTGTGAGGATTGTGACATTTAATCTTAACGTTAAAAATCACTTTGCACTCAGACTAGTAAACAAAACTACTCAATGTTTTCACAGATAAATGTTTATTAAAAATAATTAATTAAAAATCGAATTTTTTTTTGTATGAAAGTAATGTTTACTGAAAGTCTGCCAGATTTTGTAAAGATACACATACTGTATTAAAAGATATAGTCTGGAAACTGTAATGAGTACAAAATGATAGTGAACATGGTCGATTTGATCAAGCCTGTGTGGAAAAAGAATTAAGAAGATTTTGAAGGTTTAATCTGATAATACAAATACTTGTCTTCTGCAGTATATGGAAGTCCATATACTTTTTGCTTTTGTGTAACATTATACAATTAGTTGATTACTTCTAACATTAATATTTTGATAGGTACTGATTTTGTGCTTACTAAAATAACACCAGGTGAAAAGCAGCTTAAGTTTACAGCATTTTCTGTTTTGCAATAACATGAGTTATAATAAAGAAGACTAGAGCATAAAAAATGTGCAGTGTTTATACAGTATGAGAGTGACTGTACATATAAATTTTGTAACTTGTAACCATAACAGTGAGAGAAGTCTTAAAAAGAAATCTATGAAAACTTTAAAAGGTTATTGATTGATTGTTTGGAATTAAGCACAGAGCTACACAAGGGGCTATGTGTGCTCTGCCCGCCACAGGTATCAAAACCCGGTTTCTAGTGGTGTGAGTCCGTAGACATACTGCCGTGCCACTGGGAGCAAAAAGGTTATTAAAACTACATTAGATTATGAAAAAAATAGTATTTTTATGGCTGAGTTCTGCTAGACTAATTATTATTCAATAATATAAGAGTTTCATTAAATTATTTTTTTCTTTTTTTTTCAGGCACCAATATTTATTTCATTTTTTATGGCTCTAAGAGAAATGGCCAATCTTCCTCTGGAAAGCATGAAAACTGGAGGAACTATGTGGTTTACAGATCTGACCATCCCCGACCCATTTTATGGGTTACCACTTATAACCTGTGCAACTCTTTTTGTTATTATTGAGGTAGGATTAAATGTATTACATTTTTCTGAAGCTACAGTTTGGTGTATGAACATTACATAATAAATGCTGGGGAAGGTGTTTCTGTAACATTTATGGATTTTGAGGAAGGTAGGACTGGAATAGCGGATAGTTAACAGATAATAGCTGAGGAAAAACAAAAAGTCCACTCAACAACAACACAAAGTTTTTCACACATACACACAAAAAGAATAAGTGTGATTACAGGATTGATAATACAGTTGTATCTCACCTAAAAACTGTAGATGCTTGAGTCATAAGCATGTTCAGGTCATTTTTCTGTAAAAGCTTCTGCTAGACTATTATTTACCTCTGAACTTAGTGCTTTTGTAGGCATACTACATGAAACTTTTTTATTTGATTTATTCAAACAAATGAATACAAGGTATTTGCTCATAAAGTATACTATATAGTGAAAAAAGCTCAAATTAACCCCAAATCTGACTCTAAAGCTTATCCCTATCCTAGTAGACTTAGAGTGAAAGAATAAACAGCATGGCTGGTGGTTAGGGCATTCAACTTGCAATCTTCATGTCGCAGGTTCAAATCCCATCACCATACATGCTTGCTGTTTCAGCCATGGAAGCATTATAATGTGACAGTTAATCCAACTCTTCAGTGGTAAAGAATAGCCTAACAACTGTCAGTGAGTGGTGTTGACTTGCTACCTCCCCTCTGATCTATCTCTTCAAAATTAGGCACAGATAGCCCTCAGGTAGCTTCTCATGAAATTCAACAAAAACAAAGAAAACAAATAATAATAATTTAAACATTTAACAAGCTTTGCAGTCAATCTTAAAACTTGTTACTATTTTATCTAAGTATGAAAATCAGTATTAAAATATTCGGCATTATACGTTTAAACATTTTAGCTAAAGGTTGCGCTGCAGTCATGTAAGTTACACCATTAAATTGATCTTGTATAGGTCAACTCATATAAAATAATATTGCTTGTGTTGTTCTATTTTAATTATCATAAATACATGTCTGCCTTTTTTTAGGAATTTCCTTGAAATTTCAACCAAAGTATGCTTTATGTTGGACAAAAGAAAGTCTTTTTCCAAGCTTTGGTTGATTCACCACTTGTGCATGTTACACTGTGGTTATTACCTTTGTGCATTACTGTTGGGCTTTTAAGAGTGAGACGTGTATCATTTTTATCATCTCTACATTACATTTTAAGATGTGGAACTTGATACATATTTAACTCTGGTACTGTTATTTAATTACAAGATTAATGACTTTTATCAAGTTTTCTAAGTAGGCCATTATTAGATATGCATCCAGTGTCTGTGCACTATGCACACTGTTTGTTATTTCCAAGGCATGGCTGTGTACAGTATGATTTCAGTACATGAATTTAAAGTTGTAGTTAATTTGAAAAATTTTTCTATTCATATTTTAGTGTTAATAGACATATGAAGTGAAAGAAGGTTTGTGTGGGGGGGGGGGATGATCTAATTGCCATTTGCTTCCATGTGAGATTTCATCTAAAGACCATATATAATCTATTAAAAAAACTGTCACTAAAATTTTTACCACTCAGTTTCTGAAATTGTTAAATTCAAATTGTTAATTAAAGTCTTTAATAACTTTATCACTGCATACGTATATATTACAATTTGTTTGAACATTGCTTTGAAACTGTACTCTTTAAGTGTCAGCAAATTCTAATTTGTTGGATCAGTTTGGGAAGAAAAATTGCTGATGACAAAGAAAATATTCTAATAAGCTGTTAAAGACCAGTATTAAATAGAGCCTGTGCATCAGTGTTGCTTTCTAAACTATGTTGAAAAAGTTAAATTTTGTAACTTACCTCAGTTTTGGACTTTATGAGGGCTAAAATAGATAGAGAGTTATCAGTAATTTTTACAGATGCAGATGATTTCATTATATTGATAGTTTATGTTTTTTGATTTTTGTTGTCAATATTCTAATTGTGATGATTTGATTAGACTGGAGCTGAAGGAGGAATGAGAAGTGACAGTTTACAAGCTATGAGATACTTTATGCGAGCTATGCCTCTGATACTTTTCCCTTTTGCCATAAATTTTCCAGCAGTAAGTGATGATTTTATGTTTTGGCTTAAGTATTTTAACAAAGTAAATAAGGAATGCAAATAGAGACAATAAGATGATCTGAACTAGAACAGTAGGAGCAGTCTTTACCAAACATCTAATGATGTTTTTTTCACAGATTTTAATGAAAGAGATGAAATTTTGTATTTTTATTCTACGAGTTACTACATTAAAAGATATACATGAATAAGTTTGTGTGTGTGAAAAAACATAAGTGAGACATATTTTGAATTAATTATAGATTGGTACTTAGAAACATCCTTGAATTAAAAAACTTGAGACATATAATTGTTTTAATAGAATACCCTTATTTTTTATAGTCGTTACACTGGTCTAAGGTTGTGTAAAAAATAATAAGATTACATGCTGTCCCAGACTTCACATTTAGAAAGAGTTAATTAACAAATATGTTTAATACTGTCAGTTTAAACCATGAAAGGAAAGTTTCTATCCTACATGCTGTAAATATACAATACTTATTGAAAATCACCAGAATTTTATTTTCTTGATATATTTATCTTAAATTATTAAACTTCAGTTTCCTACATTTTTTAAAACACACTGAGTATGCAGAGGTATGTGCATGTAATATTTCCATCAACATGTCTTTGGGATCTCTCTCTCTCTCTCTCTCTCTAGCTACTTTTAAGTTAAACTTAATGTGTAAAATTTAACAGAAATGACACCACCAGAACAAGTTAATTTTTACTTAGCCAGTGTGTGTGTGTGTTTCTATCGATGACAAGAGTAATTATTGTACCAATGCACTGATAATGAACTGCACAGCCTGGAATTATAAGAAATCTTTATTAGAAAGAAAATGGAACAGGTGTTTAATTAAAGCATCACAATTTGTGTACACGATGAGTAGAACATTATTTTCTTTTATTGGTAGCCTAGTGAACTGCAAGAACAAAAGTTCAAACTATTTCACAATAAATTTTACATCTTATTCCAACTTGTCCTAGTAGATTTAGTTTAATATTAGTACCAGCAACTATTACTGTAGGTCACACAAACCATGGATAAGTGAGTTTCGTTTGGATGAATTTTAGATAAAAAAATAATTTCAGTTGATTTTATCATTGTAAAAAGTTTTTCAGTATCAAACATTTTTCCTACTTGTTCAAAAAAGTTCAACCCTTTCTGCATTTTAATTTGCATGAGCAGATTATTGCTTTCAAAATTTCTTTATTAATCAGTATCTTCTGTTTTACTAACTTTAGTAATGTATATGCTCATCTATACTCAGGGTATAGTTGCTTTTGTTTTTTACCAGGTTTGTAGAGCACCATTAGTGTTTATATAGTGATGTATTTTGAGGATATGTAACTGACATAGAAGACTTAAAGTATTGATGATCTTTTCACCAAACTCAGGGGTTTTGGTTATGATGAGAAAAAAGAATCTTTTTATATGAAACATTTTTTTTTCATTATCTTTCAAAATAAAATCTATGAAGTTTAAAAATTATTTTACTTTTTTATGTGTGTGTGTGTTCCAGGCTATCTTATGTTACTGGACTACAAGTAATTTTATTTCACTGGGACAAGTGACATTACTTAAGATTGAACCAGTTCGGAAGTTTTTTAAAATCCCCAAATTGGTTCACTATGATCCAGCTAACTTACCCATAAAGCAAAAGGGATTTATTGAAGGATTTAAAGAATGTAAGTATTGCTCTAGTAACTTTATACTTAAAACAGTTTAGTTTTTTCATTTATTTAGGATTCATAGGAGCTTAAAATTTTCAAAAATTCAAAACAAGGCTTTAAATAAACCTTCAATACTTTGAAACAAAAAAGGCTTAACAGCAGATGAAGACAATACAAGAAAATAAAATCAAGAAACTGTTATGTCCATGACAAATCCAGTTAAAATAGAATGAGATAAAATGATGTCAGAGAAAACTAGCTGGACTGTTGATAGATTCTAACTGCAAAATAATAGAGATTCTTTAATTTATTGCTTTAAGAGACAAATCTGGTTTCTAGAGTGATAAATGTAGACTTATGGACACTTGAATATGGCATACAAAACATCATTGACTTTTAAACAAAACAGTTACAGCAAGAGAGAAAGGAGCTTTGGTACAACAACTGCTGATTCTCATTTTCAACAGTCACAAAGAAAATTCCTAAGCCTTCAATATCATAAATCAGTAAGATGTAAAATTATAGTTTTTTTCCTTTATTATTTCTTTTCTATCTTATAGTATTTTGGGCCAGATATGGCCTAATTGTTGGCATGTGAAGCTGTAGATTACACTTTTGCTACAGACATATTTTTCTATGTATATAATGAGGTTTTAGTGAGTTACATTCAATATTTAATTAAACTACTTACTTATCATGGTACACGAATAAACTTGGCACTAAAATATAGGTAATAATCCAAATTTTAATATTATATAAGTTTTAAGTTCTTAATTTTATAAGGCAGTATTTAAAAAAAAAGAATTTCCCTAGTATAAGGATTGTGACATTTGCCACCCCTTAGAGAAGTACAAAATATAACATAAATTACTCATTATAGTGTTGTCATTGTTCATGCAAAGCATAATTTTTATAGCTTTCAATTTTATTTGTTTACAGAGCCATCAAATAGAAAATCAGAGCCCTTTTGCCATGCCCACCTGTCACATTGTGATAGTTATGAGACATTTTTCTGTTTTTTGCATGTTAATATTCTGTGTTCTTTGGTGCATTATTTGATTAAATAAATTATTTAATGCAGTACTACCATTAGTTTAAAAAGAAAAACTATGGTTAAGTTTCCTCAACAGTTGACACCAAGAAAAACAAGACCCAGATAAGTACTTTTGTTCTTGTTTTTCATATATATCTATTTAATTATTATGATAAAGTATCTAAAATGTAAAAATTTGAAGAAACCTTTTAGGTTAGATAAGGTTAGAGTAGCTTGTATGTTATGTAATTTGATACAGTGATGTGGGATGCACACTTGCCAAATGATTTACGACTTGTGTGACAAGAATATTAGCTGGACAAGGTTCAATTCCAAGGGCAATAAAACAATAAAATGTAGGTATAACCAGATGTATACTGTTACAAATTTAAAACTATTTAGAATAGACAAATGTAGTTTCATGTTACAATTTGAAGTCATTCTAGAAAGAAATAATGGGTAATTTTGATTTATTTCGATTTTTTTAAGTGGTTATAAGGTCAGTCAAATTGACCAACCTCGTATAGAGTCAGAGTAGAAAAAATAACAAATAAAATATAAATTTTTACTGAAAAAAAAAAGTTTGCAATTTATTTAGGAGGTTTAAGAGATTATGCAAAAGAAATTTGAGATTTTTCAGATGGAGAAAAGTATTTTTAATCTTAACATGAAAATCACTTTGCACTGGGAGAAGTCAACACTTTGACTCCATATATTCATGGAGAAATTTTTAGTCAAAATACTTTATTAAAAATCCTGATATTTTTGTGTACAAATGACTCTTAATGTTTACTGAAAGCTTGTAAAATTTTGTGTAGATACACTAAACGTATTAGAAGTTCTAGTATGGAAACTATAAAGGTCAATTTTGGGTCTTGAACTTGGATGATTTGGCCACACCCGTAGCAAGAGAGTTTATGAGAATAATTTGCTATATGACATCTACAAGTTGAAACTACTTCAAAAACATTGGTTAGTTAAGTGTCTACTGCTTATTTCTTTATATTTGATTATTAAATCACTAATATTTCTATGAAGTGAAATAAATTGCCACACAAATAAAACATTTTAACACACAAGTTTTGATATAAATTAATACAATATCTATGACAGCAAATGTTATTCATATCAAAGATTTGCAGAAACTTAACCCTCTTGCCACTGAGTTTGTAACCCCAAAGTAACCATCTATTTACATGCTATAACTTTTAATATGGTGTGTTTGTCTTCACACAGTTTGGCAGACTTTCAGTAAACATTACAAGTCTTTTGTACACAAACAATCAGATTTTTTAATTGGGTATTTTTACTAAAGAATTGTCCCTGATTATATGGAATCAGAGTGTTGACTGCTGTGAGTGCAAAGTGACTTTAATGTTAAGATTAAAAATACTTTTCTTTAACTGAAAATTCTGAAATTTCATTTGCATAATTTCTAAAACATCGTAAAGAAATATAAAACTTTTTATTTTCTCTGTTGTTTTTTCTACTAAAACTCTATACCCATTTGGTAAATTTGACCAACCTCATAAGCACTATAAACAAAATATGAACTGTATCTATATTACTCCGTTTTTTTTTTCTCTCTAGAATGACTTCAAATTGTAATGAAAGTACAATTGTTTATTCTAAATAGCTTAAAGCTTGGAACTGTATATATTTGTTCATACTTAATTTTATTGTTTTATTTCCCTTTGAATTGTGTCTAACTAATAATCCTGCCATACAAGTTGTAAATCACTTGGTGAACATGAAGCTCGCATTACCATATCGAATTACGTAATGCACAATGTGCTCATGAGCATACTTCATAAAGAATTTTTTTTTCATTATCTTACCTAATGTAACCTTATTTAACCTAATACATTTCTAATTTTTATGTTTTAGTTATATTTATAATAATAAAAAAATACATGTGAAAAACAAGAAATAGTACTTATCTGGGTCCTTTTGTTTTTTTGCTGTCAGTGAAACTTAAGTCTACTTTTTTATACAAATGGTACTACTACACTAAAAAATTTGTATCTAATTATATAATGCACCTGAGAACGTAGAATAATAATATGCACAAAACGAACAATATCCTATAACTATCATAATTTTATTGGCTTTCTAACTGAATACTGTGAGAAAAGTTTCAAACTGTAGGTGAAATAGACAGGTTTCTGTACAGAAAACAATGTAATATAAAATATCATTTGGTAGGTTAAAGCTTTGACTTTTTATTGGTTATAAATAATATAGTATAAAATGTCAGGAAACTATTGGCAATTTGTGAAAGAGAGGATGTGACATTTGGGTGTGGCAAGTGGGCCTGATTTTCTAGTTTATGACTCCATAAAGAAATAACTTTGCAGGCTGTAAAATTATACTTTTCCTGAGTAAAAGCTATATTAAATTGAGTAATTTACATTAAATTCTGTACTTCTCAGAGGGGTCATAAATAAAGTAGAGAAGAAGGAAGACTTGTAGAGCAGATGTCACATTTCTCATACTATGGGAGATTGAGGATTTTTAAATATTTTGTTCTAAAATTAAGAATGTAAAACTTATATAATATTAGAATTTTATTTATTAAGTATGTTTTGATGCCAAGTTTATTTGTATATGATGATAATGAAGTAGTTTATTTAAATTTTGAATGTAACTCTGTAAAAGGTCATGACATGCATTTTGACTTGCCCATAGCAACAGGGTTAAACAGAAACAGAATTATGCAAAGCTACAACTAGATATGAAAAATGGGCTTTATAGTTATGCAAACTTTTTTTTTCTATAATTGATTTTAATAGGCTATTTTTAAAAAAATTAGAAGTACCTATACACATAGATGAGAGAAATACATGCATAAATGAAACATAAGAAGAAAATAGTTGTCTAATGTTTGTTTTCATTTATTAAACTGTATCTGCCGTTAGGTTCTATCTAACTGCTATAATCACTTTTATAAAAGATAATTGTTGCATTGTTGATACTTTTAAAAAAAAGCAGTCTGAACTCACTATCGACTATTTAACTGTATTGCATGATCAAATATAATTTATTACATTACTCATTACATGTATCAATAGAAGAATATCATCTTTGGTATATGCCTACCAAAACTTTGAAACTGATAAGTGATCTTTTATCAGCAGGAATGGTAGCATACATATTTAAGTATTTTTTTTGCTTGTACAACACCTTTTGCATTTATACACTTCTGAAAAATGTTACATTGTTTGTTTTCTTATTTTTAGACTGAACATCTATTAAGTAGACTATGTAGCTTCAGCTGTGTATTGAAACTGATTTCAGAATGCTTCTCATTTTATATACATGTACAAGTGTTATTCAATACTTTAATACTAATTAATCACTTGTGAATTGGGCAAGAGGTCTTACACAGAAAACTGCCAATACCATGTTAAATTCTTAACATATTTTCTAATAATTTGGATGATTATTTTGTTTCTGTTACACTGTGTCAGGAAAAAACCTTGAATAAATTATCTTGTTTATATTGTTTATCAGTGTTATGCATGTTGTATAGAATTAAATAACCTCCTGAATAGAAGAAAAAATATGTAATTTGGAATTTACTTATTAGCAAGTGGATTTGAAATTCCATTTTTTTTTAAATAATAAAATAGGAAATATTTATATTTTGTACTTTATTTTTATAGCAATGAAAAATGCTAAAATAACCCAGGAATTGGAAGATCGCAAAAGAACTGATGAGATAGTGTTACGTAAAACAGGACCAGCATCCAACAGTAAAAGTTTCTCAGTTGGTCCCACAGATAAGAACCCTACTAGTGTAGCCTCTCAAGCAGCCAAGAAAAGATAGTATTTTATATATAAAGATTAAAATCAAAATATATAGATTAACCTGTTATAAACTGTTTACTGTAAATAAAAACTGGAAGATATTTAGAAAATCAATCTTGTCTGCTATTGAAAAAATTCTCAAATAGTTTGAATTACAGGTTGAATTACAACTTCATTGTTGCTAAAGTGAGCCATGGATTCCTTGTATAAACATAACTGGTGAATTAAATAGCTTCTAGAATCTGGCTAGATAAATTTGTATGTCAAACTGAGTCAGTAATCTTTTGAAAGTTATTGTGATAGTGTGTGTAGGTTATAATATATAATTAACCACACTGTTAACCCTAATTACCACTGTATGTTGGCTTTTTTGGTATCCAAGTGGTTTCAGATTAAACTTTTTTTCCCTTCATACCATATCACCACATTGGACTTTTTTGCATCAGTATTGCAGCTTTTTATTTTCATCTGTTCACTGGGTGACTTAGCTTTTCATGAAATGTGTATGGTTTCAGTGGTATCTTTAATGTTTCTTCAGCATCAGGGTGACCATTAGAGGAGGTCCAACAGCACATTACCAAACAGTTTGTGTACACATTTGGCCACTTTGAAATAGTACATCATCATGTGAATGTGGTGAAGTGATAATCCAAAAATGAACCAAGAACACTGTTGTGTTATTTCTGGGATAAAAAGATTCATGGACCTACTGTGTGAAAGGATAAGTTTAGTGGCTTTATTGCAATGGAATTAAAGAAACAAGGCTAACCGTAAAGATAAACAAAAAACACTTCTATAGACAAGTAAATGGCTGATTGCTTAGTGACAGAAGTTTTATGTCATTGTAAAAATTGAAAAGTAAAATGAACTGTCCTGAAATAAAAGAAAGGGTACTTAAAGATAGCTTTTATATATGCGGAGACATCTGTTAGCTGAGTTCTTGCACAGATCTTAAAATATAACATTGATAGACGGAAACATTGGCAAGAACTCAGTTAACAGATGTTTCCGCATATAAAAGCTATCTTCAAGTTTTGTACACCAAAAAACTTTTAAAGGGTACTTAATAAATAAAAGTAAATAAATTTTACTTACAACTGGTGGTACAATAAGTTTACTCAATTAGCAGACTGAGAAGCAAATGTTTACAGAAATTACACCAGTCAGTCCTGACTTTCTGAAGTCAGAAATGATATCATGTTGAAAATGTCAAAACTGCTCTTACATCCCACTTTCTCTACATAGCTGCCCATTTACAAAATTAGATTACAAATATCTGGAGGTATCCATGTCCTATGTGCCAGTTGTAGTGCAGTTTCACATACACAAGGTAATGTAGAACACGCTGTAACAATCCCATGATACAATAACTAGCTTCTTTGTCATGGTTAGTAGTATATATGATCACTTAAGGTTAATTATTAATTATTTATAAAAAAAATTTCATTACTATATACTAAATACAAATGGTTTTATATCCTTTATTTTGGTTACTGATAATAACATATTGCCATCTTCAGGGAAGTCCTGATATGAACTGTGTTTATAGTGGTAGTAGTGACTAGGTTTTTATTGTGGTCTTGACAAAAAGGCTTATGTGCTAATAATTTCTACAAGTGGACTGACTGTTTAACATGTGAAGATGTTTTATCTTTTCAGCTAATATACACCTGGAAAAAAGTTAAGCACCCCCGTGTTTTTTTCAAGTGATTCAGATTCGACGTTCTTGTGACTGATTATAAATTACCATTCAATCTAGACGTGTTTATCAAATGAAATTATGCATTATTGGGCACAAGAAAACAAGATTATCACTGTAAAATAACAATTTTTAATTTACATATCATGACATCAAAATATGGACAGTTTTCACGCTTAAAATTATATTTAATAAGTATT